TCTCTCCATGGCGGACGCCCCTCCCGCAGCCACGGTCGCAGACGGGACGCTCCGACGCGGTGGCATCCAGAAACGCAAGGGCCAGGGCCATGCTGACGCTGATCCTCCCAGTGGTCGTGGTGATCGCTCAAGGACTCCGCCGCCCAATGACGAGTCCGCGATCGACTCCTTCGCCACCGTGGCCTATGCCCAGTCCCTCAAGGACAAGCTCGACTCCATGGAGGCCGCCATCAGGGACACCATCAATGCATCAGTCTCTTCAGCGATGGGCACGGCCACGGGCCCCATCTCAGCTGAACTCGCTGCAGCCCAAGCGGGCATCAACGGCCTCTCGGGCAAGATCGAGCAGGAAGTGGGTCTCGCCGTGGGCAAGCAGATCGACGCCACCCGCAAGTCCTTCCATCAACAGTTCGACGCGTTCACCCAGCGGATGGGTGACATCGAGAGCCGCCAGGACCAAGCTGACAAGGCAATCTCCCAAATGTCCGAACAGACCGCGACGTTGCAGAAAACGCTCGAAGTGACCAACAAGAAACCGGTGCAGGAGACCTTCGTGGGCCGCGACTCCTACAGAGATGTGGACCTTACTATCGTCAAAGTGCATGCGGACGGTCTGGTCGCCTTCGACAAAGCCACGGAAGCACCCACCAAGTGGACCACCGACTGCGGCATCGAGGAATCGCACTTCAAGGTACAGGGCCACGACACTTCCAGATACTGCACGGTCCAGTTCGCGGGCTTCTCTGGGCCCGCCTCCCGCAGAGTTCAGAAAGCATTGGGCAGTCTTCGCGATCGTGGCGGCAGTTGGTCCCGCATCCGCGCGCCAGCTATTGCAGGCAACGGGTCTGTCGAGCTGCGGGTGGGGCCGGACAAGTCCCCCAAGCGAATCAAGACAGAGATCGTCGGCAAGCGCATGCGGCAAGCCCTGGAGCGGGCCTTCCCTACTTACCCACGCATGGAGAGTTGACCGCGCCGAGGGCTGGATCTCGGCCAACTGGTCCCCCGTGCTCTCCTACACAGTACATCCTCGACGTGATGGAGCTACGGCGATTGCCTACCAGGACACGGGCCTTCCCACCCTGGGCATCACCAGAGCGCAGGTCAAGGGCGCCATCAATGATGTGGTCACGCCCGAGGCTGCTCCTCAGTTTTAGCTTTGACAAGATCGCCAAGGGGCTGAAGCGGGCGTCATGCGGTCCGTCTCCGAGTCTGGTGGCTGACACTTGGAATGCACGGGCCCTCCTCAGCTACCAAGGGCGCCGAGTGGTTGAGAAGTCCCCCTCCTGCCTGCGCCCCCTCCCCCTCGACGAGATGATCCTGGGCATCCAGGAGGTTCGCAGGAACCGCGCCCAGCTGCTCGCTTTCATTCTGAAGATCAGCACCGAGCTCTCCATGCGCTCCTCCTTCGCGCCAGGTCACCATGGGGAAGTCAGCGGCGGCGTTGCCGCGCCCCCCCCCCCCCCCTGAGGTCTCAACGCGGTGAGCGAGGCCCCCCTCCCAGGGCGTGTCTTGCGCGCCGTTTTCCAGGCTGATGAGCAGAATCTGATCTTCTACAGCATCCGCAACTACGAGATCGGCAACGCGGCGGTCAAGCGCACCTCGGCCAATACAAACAGCGACATGCGCCTGCAGCCTGGCGAGGGCCAGCCCGAGCAAGATCGCGCTGGTCGTCGTGGGGGATTTCAGCTTCGCCGCCGTCGGGAAGTTGAAGCGACGCAACTCATTTCTGTGCGGGGACGTTGGCGGAGTCAACCATCGACCGCTGCTTCTGCTTGACCACGCCCTCCCAGATGATCCAGCTCGCCGTCGCCTTCACCACCTTCTCCACCCCCGAGCTGCTGTCCCGCCGTCGGGTCTGCGACCGCGCCGCAGTTCTCGTCTCTTTCTCCATGCGTGACCTCGAAGCTGGAAAGAACCGGCCGATTGCCCCGTGCATCTTCAAGTCCCTCATGTTCAAGCAGATAGCGGAGAAGGTGTTCTCCCATACCAGCTTCGACGCGATCACCGCCAGCCAGGGTGCTCCCGAACGCGGAACTCCTACGAGAAGTCGCCCGTGCCGCGCGAGACCGCGCTCGCGAAGAAAATCTGGGACATGGGGATGTCCAGCTGCAGCTGGCCAAACTGATTGCCCGCGCGGTCTGGAGACAGGATCGCAAGCTGGCAGCCAGACTCCTCCGCACCCGTGCCAAAGCTCAAGATATCCTCGACATCAGCAATGACCAGATCCAGCTCGCGGACCCCGCCTCGTTCGAGGAGCGGGCCAGTGCCCTCTTCCGCCAGGATGCGGATCAACGACAAGCCGCCATTGATCTGGCTCGACAGCGAGGGCGCCTTCCCCATGCCCAAGCCCGCGCCCAGTCACAAGCTCTTCACCGCAAGATCCAGCACTGGAACCCGATTAGCAAATGCCTGGCGCTCACTGCTGCGAAGACAACTACTGGAGCAGTGACGGGACCGACAGAGACTGCAGAAGCTGATGGATACTTGGCAACCCGTCTTCCAGGGCGAGACCGTGGACACTGTGGCGGCGGAGACTTACTTCAACCGATGCGCGCCCAAGATCGACGTCAACAGCTTCATGCCCCCCGACTACAACACGCCCAGGAGGTTCGCGCGCAGATCCTCCCCCACCGCCCCTGGCATGGGCGGGCCCCCCTGCATCGCCTGGTCCGCGCGCGAGAAGTGCACCGAGACTCTCTGGCAGGTCATGACTTGGATGTTCGGCGGCGGCCTCCTCCCTGACGAAGCTGACGCGACGGCGAGGGCATTCCTTTCCAAATGGCAAGAACCCGACGACGCTGAGCACATCGGCTGCCGCCGTTGCCCGTCCAAAGTTCGCGTCCTCGGGCATCGGGGCACTTCTCAATATCACTAGCAGAGCACCATGAACGCGGCGATGGCTGCGGTGGCCGCTGATGTGGTACCAGCATCGCAGCGTGGCTTCATCCACCGCCGCGACTTCGGCTACAACATCCTCGAGCCGCATCGCTTCCGCCGGCCCCGACGAAATGTGCAAGTTGCCCGTGCTGGTGTCGCTGGACATCGCGCAGGCCTTCCCGAGCTTCGCCCACCAGTTCATCCGCCTCGCGCTGGAGGCAATGGGCGCGCCCGTGGCTGCGCTGAACTTCTTCGACTCGGTGTGCCGCGACATCCTCGCGATGGCCCCGTGCGCTGGCTCGTATGTCCCGCTATTCTACATCCGCTCGGATATCATCCAGGGCCGCGGGTGGAGCGGCACTGTCAACGCGATTGGCGCCGCCTGCTTCCTCCGCGACGTGAAGCAGCAGCTCGAACTCAAGGGCCACGGGCTGCGCCGCGCCTGCGCTGATGACCTCGGGCTGGTGCTGGCGGCGGTCGCCCACCCCGCGCATTTGGAGGGGGCGATGGTCCTCGTGGAAGACCCGGCTGGCCTTGCGCTGAAGCCTGCCAAGTGCCACATCATCGCGCTCGCGGGCCCCGTCGACGCAGAGCTCGTGAGCAAGCTGCGCGACGCCCTGGTCGCGATCGCCCCGCGCTTCCAGAAGTTCAATATTCGCGACAACCTGACCTACCTCGGTCTTCTCCTGGGGCCCGGAGCGACCGAGAGCCTGATCTACGCGAAGGCCTTCCAGAAGTTCCGCTGGCGCACCAAGATGTGCAGTGCCAGCGGCGCGCCCTCGATGGGCTCCGCCCAGTTGTTCAATAGCCGTGCTCTCCCTGTCCTCAGCTACTTTGCCCAGTGCGCGCTGCTGCCCCACTAGTCCTTCAAAGTGGAGAACTGGGTCAACGCATCAGTCCTGAGGTTCCCCAACGGCGCGTTCAGGGTCAAGGACTGGCCGAGGCTACGGGGCACGGGCGCGCACTCGCCGCAGCCCATGCAGCTCGCGATGATTGCCGCGATCGTCCGCGCCGCAACGTCCACCTTCCACGAGTTCCCCGAGATCCGCAAACGCCTCTACCAGGGATTGTGCCAGTACGGAGATGACCAGACCCTGCTGGGCGTTGCTCGTGCTGCACAACATCTTCCCCCGCCCCGGTGGGAGACGCTACCCTTCGTCGAGACGTTTCACCTGATCGTGTCCGCGGAGACGGACCGCCGCCACTACTACCCCTCCGCGCTGCTTGCCCCTGCCCTCAAGGCCGCGAGGGCGTCCCTCGCAGCAGGCAAGCCGGCCCGCGTCCAGCGGGCGGCGCATGCTGCTGCGAGGAGCGCACTGGGCGCGGATGAGATCGGCACGTTTTTCGCGAAAAGGCGCATGATCGAGCTACCCGATCTCGCGAGCACCTTCGAGAACGACTCCGATGTGTTCGACAGGGCGAAGATTGCGATGAAGAAGCTGCCGCCGTCGTGGGCCGCAGCCTGGATGCGGACTCTCTTTCTCGTGGCTGACCTCGAGCAGGATCGTCTACGAGTGCGGGCGCAGGCACTGTATCTTCCAGTGCACGGTCGGCGCCGACTCCGAGAAGCACTACCTGAAGCGCGCCCAATTGGCTGCTGCCGTTGCGGCGGCGATCCGTGCCACCGCCCAGACCGAGGCCGTGGCGAGCCTCGCGCTGCTGGACACAAGCATTGAAAACATCGAGCGGGTGGTCATCGCCTGCGGCACCTACCGCATGCTCCGATTGGAGAACAGCGTCGACGCGGAGACCCTGCGCTCTGCGGCGCGGGCGGCACTGCGTGCATCGAGGACGATGCGCTGCCCACTTTGGGTGCAGCATGCTCCTCTCCCCCGTGCTGGTGGAGTCCTTGGAGCTGCTGTGCACGTGCCTCTTCGAGTGCACGCACCCGGTGCGCCCGCCCGTGTGAACAGGGGCTAGGCGCGGTGGCCGTGGCGCGGGTGCGCGCCGGGGCGCGCGGCAGGCGCCGGCGGCGGAGGCAAGACCGTGCGCCTCGGCACGCTCGACTCCTCCTCCTCCTCCTCCTCGCCCTCCTCCTCCTCCTCCTCCTCCTCCTCCTCTTCCTCCGCCTCCTCCGCGATGATCCCCCTTCCTGCCCCGTCTTCGCCCCCCGCGCCCCCTAGGCCCCGGGATCAGAAACAGTGTGGCAGCTGTTGGGCATACGCCGCCGTCACCGTCCTGGACGCGCACGCGGAGCTGCACAACAGGCAGGTTTTTTTTTCCGTCGGCGCGCGAAGATCGATGAGGGGGCGAGCGTCGATGAGGGGGAGGAGGAGGAGGCGGAGGAGGAGGCGGCGGAGGAGGAGGAGGCGGAGGAAAGGGCGGAGGAGGAGGAGGAGGAAGAGGAAGTTGAAGAGGAGGAGGAGGAGGAGGAGGAGGAGGAGGAAACCGACGACCGAGAAAGGTTCGCGCGCGCGTGGCAGGGGGCGGGCGGGGGAGGGGGGGGGGGGCACAGCCCCTTGAAATTCAGGCGTTGCATGTGCTCGCCCCAGGCACATTCGCGCCGCGTCGGGCCCCAGGACCATCGCATTTCGCTCAGTTATATATATATATATATATATATAAGAATCCGCAGACCGAAGGGTGTAGGGTTCTGGCCACGGTTTCTCGCGATGTGGCAATTTGTCCGGAAGGTCGGATTTCATGGGGTTCGCCGCGAAGCAAACGGGTCCTAAGGGGAAGCGGGCCTCGAGTCCTGAAGTTTTTTTCATTGCTTTCGGAGCTCCTGGGGCCCCTCCCGGGCCCTGGGGCCGTCGGAGGACGACCCGGCAGGAATAATTGTTCCTTAGGACGAGGACGAGGAGAGGAGGAGGAGGAGGAGGAGGAGAGGAGGATGAGGAGGAGGAGGAGGAGGAGGAGGAGGAGGAAGGCGGTGGTGGTGGTGGTGGTGGTGGTGGTGGTGGTGGTGGTGGTGGTGGTGGTGGTGGTGGTGGTGGTGGTGGTGGTGGTGGTGGTGGTGGTGGTGGTGGTGACGGTGGTGGTGGTGGTGACGGTGGTGGTGACGGTGGTGGTGTGTAATGTTAGGGCCCGTAACGGCTAGGGGACACACGTTGCCACGATAAACGCGCGGTGAGTGGCGACACGCCAAGCACCGCCAGCTTCCCATTCCCCCTCTTCCCCCCTCTTCGCTTGTTCTCCCTTTCCCTCGGGGGGTGTCGTGAGATAGATGGTGACGATCGTTACTGATATTGTTCCGTGCCTCTCACCCTCACCCCTCCCCTCCAGTGAAGTCATTATTTAGCATGTCGCGCCGCCGGGTCTGGTCCACCACGCTTCGACTCGACACGTCAAGCACGTCCCAGCTCCCAGGCATTCACTTCCCGAGTTTCTCCCAGCTTCCCGTCCGCGAAGCAGAGCGACACGCCATCAGCTTGCCAGGTGCAGCGTGTCGCCCGGGCCGCCGCCGCGACGCGCCAAGCAACAGCTGCCGCAGTGGCCCCTCCAGGTCGAGCCAGTTCTCCGTCGCCCAGGTCCTCGCCTGCACGCCGAACCCGCAGCACTGCGGCGGCGCCGGCGGCTGCGACGGGGCCACGGCAGAGCTGGCCTACGAGTACGCGATGCAGGAGCCTCAGGAGGGGAAAAAACACACAGACACAATTATTTGTCGATCCCCAGAAAATATGGGAAAATATGGGAATTGGGCGGGAAGACAAAAACCCAGAAAATATGGGAAAATATGGGGGATCCTTTTATTTGTGTGTATTTATTTGTGTGTCCCAGTTTCCCTTCAGAGCCGGGGTGCAAAACGCCGGAGGGCACGGGGGACGAGAGCAGGGAATGGGAGGAAGAAGGGAGGGAAGGGAGCGGAGATGACGGGTGTACGCATGCGCCCGAGAGCCCCGTCGGACGCACGGGCGATGGGACCCCAGAGAGAGGTCCTGAGCGTGCTGGGGTCGTCCGCGTCGCGGCGCCGGCGAGGCCCAGATTGCGGACGACTCGGACTTTCCAGCGACCAAGGATGGGCAGAAGAAGGAGTGCCCGGATGACAAGGAGAGTGCGCCCCTCGCGCCTGGGAGGAGGAGCAGGGCGACGAGGGCGAGGAGGACGAGTGCCAGAGTAAGCCACGATGCCCATGACGGGGCCGGCCTGGGCGAGAGTTGGAGCCACCTGTGTGCGTCTCCGGCGCGCGGCCCCCAGCCACAGCCGCCGGGTGCGTTGCCGAAGACCCGGCCTCCGGGGATGCGCTTCAGCTGAGGCGCATCCACGGTCGCCCAGGCGACCGGGCCAGCCTGCCCTGACTCCGGATCCGCCCTATGTTGGGGAAATTCGTAGGTAAGGCTTGGAATTTCCGCCTTACTTTCCAAGCCCCGCTGATGCCAATTTCCGCCCTACTGTTCTGTTGCTGTTTCCGCCCTACTTCTGTGAATTCCCGCCCTACTTTCTGTTGGATGTTGGGTGCACCTACTTTTTCGGACTCTTATAGGTGGACTCTTTCTGGACAAAAAAAAACCAGAGTAGGGCGGATCTGGAGTCAGGGTGGCCGCATCCGGCCGGGCCGAGTCTTTTGATAGGGGTCCAGGGGCACCCTGCTTGATAGGGGTCCAGGGGCATGGAGTGCTCGATGTGGTGCAACAAGGAGGTTGCATTCGAGACGCGTCTTTTCCCTCATCCGCGGTGCCATCTCGCTCTGGGAACAAAGACAAAACGAACATCGTGCGCTGGAGAGGGAGAGAAAAAAAAAAGCCGAGTCCTTTTGCAGCCGAGTCCGATGCTGGCCGGGTTCTGCCTGGCCGATAGGCCCATGCTGGCCGGGCCCCGGCGGGCCGAGGCCGGCGCGGCGAGGGCGGGCTGGCCGAGCCGCGCCCCGGCCGTCGTCGGGAGCCCCTTGGGCTCTGGCTGCCACGCGCCAGACATCGGGCGTCTCGAAAAAATCGAGACGGGTTTTTTTCCATAGTTTTTGGCCTCTCGGGGCCCTCGCCGGGCCTCGGGACCGTCAAAAAACGGCTCGGGATGAAACACCGGCCCCAGGGAAGTGGTCGGGAGGTCGGGGGCCCGCGTCTCGAAAAAATCGAGACGTTGGATGTCTGGGGAGGGGGGAGGGCTTCTTGGAAGCCCCCTTGCTTCTTAGACGGCGCGGCCCTTCTCTGTAATTACGTAGATGTAAGGCCCGCGCCTTCCAAGGAGCAGCCTCCTAAGACGCCCTCCCACCTCCCTCCACCCCCTTGTGCGCGCCGCCAATTCTGGCTGCCAGGCCCCCCTGAGTTTGGACATGCCGGCCTCTTTGGGTCCTCTTTAGACTTTTGGGGGCGGGGCGGTCGCCACTGGCAAACTCCTGAGGGCTCCTGAAATGGCGAGCCTGTGGGGGGGGCCCTTTGGACTCGGGGGTGCGCCATGGCAAGAATCCGTGGGGCTTCTGGCTGGCAGAGCCCCAGGATTTTCTGACATGGCGGCCCCGTGGGGGCTCCTTTGGACTCGGTGGGGTATCGCCATATCAAAAATCCGTTGGACCAGTGGCTGCCAGAGCACCTGGATTTTTTAAGTGGCGGCCCCGTGGGGGCTCCTTTGGATTCCTGAGGGTCGCCATGCCAAAAAATCCTTGGGTTCTGGACTCGTGGCGGCCGTGGCGGGGGCGCCATGTCAAAATTCCATTGGGTTTTGTTTCGGCAGCCCGAACCCCCAGATTTGTGACACGGCGGCCACGTGGAGTTCCTCTGGACTCGGGGAGGTCGCCATGCCAAATTTTCTTCGGTTTGGGCTGCAAGAGGTCACGGGTTTTTGACAAGGCGACCTTGTGGGGCTGCTTTGGCTTCGGAGGGGGGGAGGGTGGCGCCATGTCAAACATCTGTGGGGCTTCTGGCTGCCAATTCCTTATTGTTTGACATGGCGGCACTTTGGAGGCTCCTTTGGACCCTGGGAGGTCGCCATGTCGAGAATCCTTGGGCTCTGGCTGCCAGGAGTTTTGACGCGGCGACCCCATGAGGGCCTCTTTGGATTCGGAGGGCGCCGCAAGGCCCAACATCCGTGGGTCCTGGCTGCCAGAGCCCGAAGCTTCTTGACATGGCGGCCCAGTGGGGGCTCCTGGCTCCTGTGGACCCGCGGGGCCGCCATGCCACAAGAGTCCGTGGGCTCTCTGGCGCCACAAGAGTCCGTGGGATCTCTTTCCCAGCTGGTCTGGTACCGGAAATTTTCGGTAGCGATTTCGACGCACCCCGAATTTCGGTAGCGACCGGATCTTCGTTTGAGGGCGTTGAAATAGCGGATTTCAGAACGGTCTGATACCGGTATTGGGCGCTACATTTCGGTATTTCGGTAGCGACCGATCTCTGCGGAGCGTTACCGGAAATTTTCGGTAGCGGACCATCAGGGTTTGGCCTTGGCCCCGGGGCTCCCGACGTCCTCCCCGCGGCCCTCCGCGGCCCCGGCGCCCTCGACCTCCTCGCCGCGGTCGGCCCCGCTCGGAGCCCCCCGCGGCCTCGGCGCTCCCGCTCTCTGATCTCGAGAGGCCGGCTGTGCCTCCGGCCCCGGCGCCCGGACGTGATTCCAGGGATTCAGAGCGTGAATTACCTACGGTAGGTCTGCGTCGTGTCGACCAGCGGCGACCCCAGCGCGGACGTTCAAGGTTGAACGCCGCCGGCGACCCAGAATCGATCGATGTTGAACGATCGGACGTTGCGGCAGCGGCCGATCGTTCAAGGTTGAACGATCCCTGCGGTGTCAAAAACCAACGCCGGGGTCGACACGACACGAACCTGCCGTACCCCGCTTTCGCGGCCTGACCAGTACAGGCCGTAGTTTGGCATCGTTTGGTATCGCTTGGAAGCGAGGGTGGTCCAAAGCGAGGTAGGTTTGTTCTCTCCCTATAGGGATACATCTGGCGTGCGGGCCTCCAGACGTGCTTCCGGCGATCGACCTTCCGGCGGATATGAGGGTCCGGCGGATATGTGTCTTACAGCCGGAGGTGCGTTCCAGTGATTATTGGGGTTCCCTTCGACGCCCAAGGGCCTTCAATATATATATATATATAGATATATACATGTATAGATTGGGTTTAGAGTTTGGATCGTGAGTTTCCACGATGCTGCACTTGTTTCGCGACGTCGGATCCCATGGGGAGGCCGCGTCGTTGTCCCAGCCATGCCCCCGGCAAGTATCTTAGGAGAGCTATTTGCATGCGTGGCTTACC